GAGGAGGAGGAGATTGGATTTATACCCCGCCCTTCACAACCCAAGGGAGTCTCAGAGGGGCTTACAAACTCCTTTCCCGTCCCCGCCCCGCAACAGGAACCCTGTAAGGCAGGTGGGGCTGAGAGAGCTCTTGACAGAAACGGCTCTTTTTCAAGAACAGCTCTGACAGAACTATGGCTTGCCCAAGGTCATCCAGTAGCTGCAAGTGGAGGAGTGGGGAATCAAACCCGATTCTCCCAGATCAGAGTCCGCGCACTTAACCACTACACCAAACTGGCTCACAAGAGATGGATGATGTCCCTCCGTTTGCAAGACCGGAGCAAGGGTGTTAATAATAGGATGTTTTGGAGGTCCTTCATTCAGAGAGTCACCATTAGTGTTGCTAACCTCCAGGTGGCACCTGGAGGTCTCCCACTATTACAATTGATCCAAGATCAGTTCCTTTGGAGAAAAGGGCTGCTTTGGAGGGTGGACTCTATGGCATTATACCCATTGAAGTCCCTCCCCTCACCAAACCCCACACTCCCAGGTTCCACCCCCCAAATCTCCAGGTGTTGCCCAACCCAGAGCTGGCAACCATAGTCGCTGTGGGTTGGCAGCAACTTGACGGCACTTAACACACACACACAGCTGAGGGAGGAAAGAAGAAAGCCGATGTAGCCATGGGATGCTTCCATAGGACCCAGGGGCCTGAACTAGAAGAGAGCCAGGTTGGTGTCGTGGTTAAGTGCGCGGACTGTAATCCGGGAGAACCGGGTTTGATTCCCCACTCCTCTACTCGCAGCTGCTGGATGACCTTGGGCAAGCCATAGTTCTCTCAGAGCTGTTCTTGAAAAAGAGCAGTTTTTGTCAGAGCTCTCTCAGCCCCATCTGCCTTACAGGGTGTCTGTTGTGGGGAGGGAAAGGGAAAGGAGTTCGTAAGCTGCTCTGAGACTCCTTTGGATAGTGAAGGGCGGGGTATAAATCCAATCTCCTCCTCCTCCTCCTCCTCCTCCTCCTCCTCTTCTTCTTCTGCCGCTCCTTTTCTCTCCGGTGGTTCTCTTCTTCATGGGGGAAAGATATCTGTGCGCGCGTGTGTCCAGAAACCTGAGGCGCATTCAAAACAGATCATGTTTTCAAGCTGCAGTTTCCTTTGTCCCTGCGCAAAGGTATCCATTAGTCGATGCTCACCTGCCGAGAATTCCAATTGCAGATAAGTACGCCCAAGTTTATTCTCTTCCGGCTGGTTCAAGTGTGCATTACTGTAATGCGATTGAGCCGCCCCTGCAAATTCAGATGGCCTGGCTTTATCACAGAAGGGGAAATGAAAGTAAACACGGCCCCGCAAATGCAACTGAATGCACATTACGGCCTGTTAAGAAACATCAGGTGTTACCGGACCAAAGAGAAGATGAGACCAATCATCCAAGAAAGGGTCTTGGGGGGGGGACCATCCCCCTCTCTCCCTCCCCCCTTAATACTGTGGATGGTTTCACAAGATGCTGTGAGCCGACATGTCTCAGAGGGTAGCTGTGTTGTCCGGCAGTAAACCAGTGAGATTCAAATCCAGGAGCATCTTAGAGCCTTCGGGCAGAAGATATAGGACAATTAAAGCAAGGACAAATAGATTAAAAAATAGTTTTTATTCGAGAGCTATCATTGCCTTAAATGCTGTATGAAACTGGAATTTCGGTGACATTGGTGGTTTTAATTTGTTATGTGAACCTTAAGGGAGTTATGGGACGGTAGTGAATGGTGTGTGAGTGTATATGAATATTGTTGTAGATCACCGAAATGATTGCATCTTTAATTTCGTTGTACTATGTACAATGACAATAAAGTATAAAGTAAGTAAGTAGAGACCGACAAGATTTTCAGGAAAAAAAGCTTCCGAGCATCAAATCGGGAGCTTCGATTCTCAAAAGCTCAGACCCGGAAACTCTTGTTGGTCTCTAAGGCGCTCTGGATTCGAATCTAGATGCTCTGAGCAGACACGGGGTCCAAAGGCTATCCTTCCACCCTACGGATAAGGCCATAGAACATTTTAGAGGCAAGCGATATCAGAGTGCGGTAGCGGCACGGAAGTGAGGAATAAATCGACGGAACATTGTTTACAGAGGCGGAAGTTCCTGTGCTGTTGCAAACGGCACGTCGAGCACATATCGACCTGATATTTTTGGAATTGCCCTGACTTGGACGGTCCAGGCCGTCCCAATCTCTTCAGGACTCGGAAGCGAAGCAGGGTCAGCCCTGGTTAGTGTTTGGATGGGAGTCCACCAAGGAGGACCAGGGTCGCTACGCAGAGGCAGGCGACGGCACACCACCTCTGTTTGCCTCTTGCCTTGGAAACCCCAAGGGGTTGGGATAAGTCGGCTTCCCGTGACCATGCTGACAGATCAAGTCGGTTAGCCGTGTTAGTCTGTCTGTAGCAGCAGAAAAGAGCCAGAGTCCAGTAGCGCCTTAAAGACTAACAAAATTCGTGGCAGGGGATGAACAGTGACTCATGGAAGCTCTGACCCTGCCACAAATTTCGTTAGTCTTTAAGGCGCTACTGGACTCTGGCTCTTTTCTACATGACCAGGGGTCATTTCCTGCAGGAGCACACAGGAGCGGAGCTCCGGCAGTAAGGAGCCCAGGGGGGCGGGCACATGCAACAAGCCCCGCCCCCTGCTCCCAGCAGCCCCCGGCCACAAGGAGCAAGAAGCAGCCAGGTAAGTTGCAGAGCCCCCCCCATAGCAATCCAAGTCCAGTGGAGCCTGAGCAGTGGGTGTTGCCTTCTGACACACTTCCGGTGATGTCAGGGGATGTGGCATATGCAAATAAGGTATGCTAATGAGTTGTGCTAATGAGCTCCTGCACCTCTTTTTCTACAAAATGACCCCTGTAACACAACCATGCTGTTTGGAATGATTTTCAAATGGGTTTAAAAGGGGTTTCAATGTTTTCAAAAGGCAAAATATTAATGTGGTGTTTCTTTTTTTAAGTGGGCAGCTCATTTGAAGTTGTGGGGGGGGGGAGATTGATGGCTGGCTGGGTGAAATGTGCATCTCTCGTGCAAAATGTGAAACCAAAAGGAGTTCAGGTTCATTGTGGGCAAAGAACCCACCAAATCTTCTCTTTAGATACTGTGTTCATCTTTGTCCGTGCAATAACTTAGCTGCTGTCGCAACTGGAGGGACGCGCCAGAACGGAGTTCCGGAGCCTCTTCGACAAAATTATTTTAGAAATTGTTTAAAAGTTCAAGAGTTTTCAGTACACAGATTGAAAACTTCATTTCCCTCTTGAAAGTTCTGGTTGTTGGCTCCGCTTTTTTTTTTTTTTTTAAAGCGCCCCTGGTTGCCAATTGCCCTTAGCCGAAGCACCAGAAGAACAAACGATGGGTCAAATTCATATTTGCATCCTGGCCCATTCTTCAAGAAGCATAGGTTTAACCTCAGAACCAGCGTTCCCTCTAAGCCGAGTTAGTGCGAGCTAGCTCACAGTTGTTTAGCCTCTGGCTCCCACATTTTTGTCTTAGCTCAGGAATAGGGTTGCAAAGTCCCATCTCCACCCCCAGCGGGGGACTTGGGGGGGGGCCTTCCTGGAGGGGGCGGGGCATCCCCGACGTGCCCCGTGCACCCGATCTCCATGGATCTCAAGAGAGAAGGGAGAGAGGTGGATGTGGGTATTGGGGCTTGGGGCGGGGCTTTCCCCGGCGGCCAGCTGACCGGTGGCAGGGAGAGGCCCCAAAAAAGCGGGGGACCCCTGCCAAACCGGGGGAGGGGGGGTTGGCAACCCTACTCAGGAAGGATGGCTCCAGAGCAAAGTAAGTTATGCAGGAGCCAAATCGCTTACTCACAACTGTAATGCCAGTAGCTCACGAAGTAGAATTTTTGCCCACAAGCAGTTGTTATGGGCCCCCTTCCTGAGCCTTGGCTCCCCTACCCTAACTCCCCCTGATTGCCGGTCAGCCTGTTGGCAGGGAGGACAAGGGCAGTGATTTCAGAGGCTGACCCTGGTGCTGTGCCGTGGGAAGAGGCACTGGGGCTCCTTGGGGAGGGAGGGAGCGGGACCCAGATGCTCCACAGGGAAGGCCTGCCCTTGCGGGAGGGGAGGGGGGAGAGGGAGGGAAGCTGTGGTCGCTGCAGCTCTTGCCCTAGAGCCTCTGATTGGATTAGCAGGTGGGGCCCCCGAGGCCCCCTCCCTAAAAAGTCCTTAGCTACGGGGCTGCAAAGACTCCACACCTTAGAGGGGGCATGACTCAGAACAATCCTGTAAAGTAGATTAGGCTGAGAGATGGTGAGCTGGCTAGCAGAGAGAGCGGTTATTCTCCCAATGGCCTTGCAAGGTAGGCTGAGGAGGGAGACGATGCCCGAGCATACACAACGAACAAGTCCTGTGACCCAGGTATCCCCGCTCGAAGTCAAGGGTTCTGTCTGCTAAATATGCTCAGCGCGCAGGCTGCCTTCGCGCAATATTCAGGCCCAGCAGCGGACCTGCGTGCAGCCCCCCAGTCACGGCTATTTCTCTTCTGGCAGGCGGAGAAGTTCAAGCAGCAAAAGGAATATGCCAAGCAGATCAAGGAGCACAACATAAAGAACATTATAAGTGCCAGGAAACCACCGCCCAGATCCGAGAACAAGTTAGTGGTGTGCAGGCAGAAGGTAGGACAATGCCGCAACAAAGCATGGGTCAGCCGGGCAAGCCGGGCATTCCCTGAGGTGGGCTGGAACTTCTCCCATTTAGAAAAAAAAGGCAACCGAGGGGGCGAAAGGCGCGGCAGAGACCTACAAAATTATTCCTGGTTTTGGGCTCTTCCTCATTCTCGTTGTTGTTGCTTGTGTGTCCCTATTGCTTCAGGGGGTGAAGTTTTCCTCACACGTTTTGCTCCCTCTGGTGGTCAATCTGACACTACCTTTCTGTTTGTCTGGCATAAAAAACCTGCAGTTTACATTTGCAGGGATATATGCCAGACATACAACGATGTAATATCGAGCCGGCCACTAGAGGGAGCGAAACATGTGCGGAAAGGGGGGGGAATGAAGCCGTACGGATACACAAGCGAGAAAAATTGGAATGCAGAAGAGGTGATAGAGAAGGGGGCAGAAACTTTTCTCCCTCTCCCATAGTACCAGAACTCAGGATCATGCTAGTACACTTGAGGCGAACAAAAAGGAGCACTATTTTACACAGTAGGTACTCGGCTCAAAAGATTCACTGCTGTGAGATATGGTGATGGCAGAATCCTTTTACCACCATGAGATTGCACTGAACCAAAACTGCTCCTTTCCATACTAATGGTGCTGCTAAAGAACTGGGGTGGGGGTATCACTGGCAGAAGCCCTGTTCTGAGCACCCAGAAGGCTTTGCTGCTGCCACGGTTTAGGAACATAGGAACTTAAGAGCTGGCAAGGACCTCCAGGATCATCTAATCCAACCCCCTGCACAGTGCAAGAAATTCACAACTATCTCCCACCCCACCCCATTCCCTCAGTGAGCCCTGCTCTAAGCCCAGAGGAAGGCAAACAAACAAACAAAAAAACGTCCAGGATCCCTGGGCCCTGGGGTCATTTCCTGCAGGAGCACACAGGAGCGGAGCTCCGGCAGTAAGGAGCCCAGGGGGTGGACACATGCATCAAGCCCCGCCCCCTGCTCCCAGCAGCCCTCAGTCAGAGCAAGAAGCAGCCAGGGAAATTGCCGAGCCCCCCCCCCCGGCCCAAAACAGTCCAGTGGCACCTTTAAGACCAGGTTTTATTCAGGTAAAAGCTCTCCCTCCTCTGGGACGACAGATCTGCACGTTCCCCCTCCCCCCATAGCTAGCAATCCAAAACAGTCCAGTGGAGCCTGAGTGGTGGGTGTTGCCTTCTGACACACTTCCGGTGATGTCCGGGGGTGTGGCATATGCAAATACATTATGCTAATGGGTTATGCTAATGAGCTCCTGCACCACTTGTTCTACGAAATGACCCCTGCCTGGGCCAGTCTGGCCTGGAGAAGTTGAAGCTGCCCACTGGCCCTCCTGTGAGATGGCCTCCTCCGGCAGGTGTTTTAGAAAAGAGAAAGCACTGTGGCTGTTCCAGCTAAGAATGACGTGGAGGTGGATCAGGTCATCCGACCTTCACGTGGGCTCAGTGGGTCACCCCCACCACCCTTTTGTGTGCTTTTCGGTGTGTTTGTTTTTTAGGCCCTGGAATACGCCAAGGGTATCCCTAAGCCGAAGATTGTCCTAGCGAAATCATCAGAACAAGACCCCAAAGATGAGAAAGTTCTGGCACGTACTTTAAACGGTGAGAATTTGCCTCCCATCGCATCCCTGGAGTCCCTGCAGAGCAGACACGAAAGGGAAAAACAGGTCGTGGCGGCATTCAAAACCTTCCACATCGTATGAGCGGCCGAACAGAGGGCCCCGATAGAGTCTTCACCAGCCACTCTCCCCTTTCGCTCCGCACCGACGACGCTCGTCTGGACAGTTGCTTGGTGTCCCGGAGGGCCGGCATTGAATTATGAGCTTCTGCTATCGCAAAACAAGATTTTTGAGACAGAACGTTTTCATCTTATGCACTCACCCCCCCCTTCTTTTTCTCAGATTTTATTGTAGCGAAATAAATAAATTATATAATGCTCTTTCCTTTCATAGGGTTGCCAAATCGACTTACCTTGCCGGCGGGGGACTCTGGGGTGGCTCCCGGAGCGCGCGCCGCATGCACTTCACAGAGAAGGGACGTCATGACGCTGGGCACGCTGGGGGCGGGGCCACAGCCATTTGAGGGGGAAACATAGAGTTTTCCCCTCAAATGGCTGTGGCCCCGCCCCCAGCGTGCCTGGCGTCATGACGTCACTTCCCTGTGATGTGCACGCGGGGGTGGGGTTTCCCCCGGGGCCCGATTCCGCGGGGGTGGGGTTTCCCCCAGGGCCTCCAAAGCGGGGGGAAATCCACCCACCAGGGGGATTTGGCAGCCCTAGGTGGTCAACACTAGGCCTCAGTGAAGCCTGAACTGGCCTAGAAGCTAAAATGGCTGAACTGAGGCTCTCGTGCTTTGGCTACATTATGAGAAGACAAGAGTCACTGGAAAAGACAAGAGGGGGGATGCCAGCCTCCAGGGGGGACCTGGGGATGCCCCGGATTTACAGCTTGTCTCCAGACTCCAGAGATCAGTTCCCCCGGGGAAAATGGATGCTTTGGAGAGTGGAATCTGTGGCACTGTACCCCATTGAGGTCCCTGTCATCCCCAGGCTCCGCCCCCAAATCTCCAGGAGCTTCCCAACTTGAATCTAGCAACCCTAACCCCTCATTTCCCACCCGTGGCCAGGGGGGACCCGCCAACCCTAAGTAATGCTAGAAAAAGTTGAAGGCAGCAGGAAAAGAGGGAGGCCCAACATGAGATGGATTAACTCAACAGAAGACTCGTGGCGATCCCAAGTCCGCAGGGTTTCCAAGGCAAGAGATGAGCCGAGGTGCTTTGCCGGCGCCTTCCTCTGCATAGCAACCCCAGTCTTCCTTGGTGGTCTGTGGCCAATTTTTCTAAGCTTCCAAGCTCTGATGAGATTGGGCCAGACTGGGCTATCAGGCTGCTTGCAATCCTCATGTAAGTGAAACCAAACGTAAAGGCAAAACTTAAGGTGATTCCTGAGGATCCATCAGTAGATCTCCTGTGATTTTTCTAAACTGTTAATGAACAGCTGGGGGGGGGGCTGATTTGCATCTGGTATTTGGGCAAAAACTCTGGTAGAAGCCAAATCTAGAAGGAGGAGGAGATTGGATTTATACCCTGCCCTTCACTCGGAGTCTCAGAGCGGCTTACAAACTCCTTTCCCTTCCCCTCCCCACAACAGACACCCCGTGAGGTAGATGGGGCTGAGAGAGCTCTGACAGAAACTGCTCTTTTCAAGAACAGCTCTGACAGAACTACGGCTTGCCCAAGGTCATCCAGCAGCTGCGAGTGGAGGAGTGGGGAATCAAACCCAGTTCTCCCAGATTAGAGTTCGCGTACTTAACCACGACACCATAGACTTTTGGCCCAAATACCAGAGCGTGGACCTGACATCCCCGATACGATGACATCACTTCCAGGTCATGTGGGCAGTGACACGGGCACATTGCTGCATGTCTGCTGGGCCTCCCTCCGCCTCCCATTTCGACTCCCCCACCCCCCTGGCAACCCTACTGTGGATTTGGTATGCGAGACGGGAGCTCAGTCTCACCTGGAGAATTCCATGGACTCTGTCCAGTGGTTGGTTGAGAAGGTGAGGAGCCCGTGGCCCACGGTTTTTTACAAAAATAGTGAGAAAAGCAGTGTTGTCCTTCGGCCTTACCCTTCCCTTTCCATGCCTTCGTGCTGCCAAGAAGACATCCATACTATGCTAAAGGACTCTGTGCTTCCAGAACCAACTGCGCTGCGCTAGGACTCCAGTAAGAGGTAGCTAGTCAGCTTTCTTGTGCCTTTTACTGCCACAGGGCTATAGGCCTTGCTGTTAAACCTTTTTCCCCCCTTAAATTTCTTCAATAAAGCTTCGTTTTGCTTTATGGTGTGTGTTACCCAGGGAGTTTCTGAGACCAAACCCAGGTACAGCTTGGTTCTGTTACTGCACCAGGACGGGGTCCTCTCCTGATGTCTAATGTCCTGGCCCCACTGATGGACCTCTTGATGGCACTGGTATTTCTGGCCACTGTGTGATACGGAGTGTTGGACTGGATGGGCCTTTGGCCTGATCCAACATTGTTCTTATGATGCCAGGCTCTGCCCCCAAGTCTCCAGGTATCTTCCAGCCTACAGTTGGCAACCATACGCAGTCCCCGTTTATTTTCCCCGTGGACTCCGAGGCCCGCTTTAAATATGAAATTGGCAGGCTGTAACTTGATGGTGGGATCTTGGATGTTTTCCATACAGTGAATCTCGTTACCTGTGTAACATTAGCACTCCAATGCAGTGACCTTTCTTATTTTAATGCCACATTCCTCGGGGAGTTATCAGTTCCTTTCAAGGGCTCTTACAAGAGTTCTGCTGGTGCATAACTAAACAGGAGTCCCAGGCACCCAAAAGGCTACAGACTCACCACTAAAGCTTATGCTGGAATATCGTTGTAGTTAACATCTGACATTTTAGGCGGTTTTTATGCCATTGTTCATTGTAAATACTATACAGATTTCATTGCATCGTTCCCTAATTTTGTGTTCCTGCTTTGTTGTCTGTTTTATACTTCACTAGAGGTTGAGATGCTGAGCTGCAGACTGGAAGGTCTGTAGCACGGCAGTTCGAGACCCGAGTGCTGCGTGACGGACTGAGTGCCCATCTCTGGCCCCAGCTCCTGCCAACCTAGCAGTTTGAAAGCAAGAAATTGCAAGTAGCTAAATAGGTACCGCTTCGGTGGGAAGGTAACAGCGTTCGGTGCGCCTCAGTGCCTAGTCATGACGGCCGCATGACCACAGAGAAGTCTTCGGACAGCGCTGGCTCTTCGGCTTGGAGATGAGCACCGCCCCCTAGAGTCATATTCGACTGGCTTTTGAGCAAGGGAAACCTTTACCTTTTAATTCTCTGATGTGGTAACTGATTCTGATTGCATTGGTTGCTGAATGTATCATGCCATCTTTATTCTTGTGCTCTTAATTGTCTTGTCCATACAGTTGCCAAACTCCGGGAGATTTCCCGGAATTACTCTGATCTCTGGATGAGAGAGATAAGATCTTCGACGTGGTCTCTGTGCTTCACACCCAAGGGGATACAGTGCGCATGCACTGGATCGATCGGCATTGTAGCAAGCTCTTAATGGATTTTCGCGCCCAGACCTCGGACATGTGCAGGAACCCCACCACGCATGCCCAGAGGGGTGGGCACGGACATCCCACCAGTTCCTTTCTTTCTGCAGCACTGGAAGCACCTTCCTTTCATCGGTCTGATCAGTAGCTTTTTATCCTCAGAAGCTTTTCGGTTTCTCTTCAGTTTTCTTTATTTTTCACTTCTACCTTCGTTATTTTGGTTGTGTGTGTGTTTTTTTAAGGACTTTGTTTCGTTTAGGGGGAGGTTTTTTGTTTACCTCACTCTGGCCTTCGGGCTCCCCCCCCCACCTCTTTTTCTTCTCTGTTTTGCTTATTTTATGGAGAAGTGGGGCTTTTTCAAGCGTTGCAAAGGTTGCAGCAGTAAGCTCGGTCCACCTGACGGCCACACCCTTTGCATTTTTTGTCTTGGCGAGACACATAGGCCAGAATCCTGTCAACATTGTGCCAGGTTTTCAAATCAGACAAGAAAAAACCGAGCGGCGCATCTACGGGTGGCATTACTGGAATTGGCGCTAAATCCTGCTTCCGTCATGGATCCAGAAGTACCGGTAAGACCATCGACATCGACGGCTCCGGTATCGAAGTCTTCGTTCGACATCGTCCAGGCGTCATTGAAGCGTTCGGCACCGACGGCGCAGTCTTCAGCATCGACTCCCATGAAAAAGAAGGAGAATTCGGGTAAAAAGCACAGGTCGGCCAAAAAGGGCTCCTCTAAGGCCATAAAGGCGGCGAAGTCTGGGAAAGTAGCGGGTTCTGCACCGGGTAATGCCCCTAACGTGCCCCCCGCTCCAACGGCAGTATCGGCATCGGAGGCTCCGGTCGCTCCACCGATACCGACCATCCAGCTAATGGACTCTCCCATACACCAGCTAGACCATGACACGCTGGTCGATATGCGTCCTTTCTCCAACATCGATAATGTCGAGATCCTCAGTCGTCCCCTGGGCACGGATCGCTCTCCCTCTGCTCAGTAATCAACATCGATGGTCTCGGAGTGCTATGCCGATATCGATGCGACTCGGCTTTGACAGATCCCTAAAAGCACTCAATGTCATCCTCCCTGTCTGTTCGCCAAGGATCGGCCCTTCGATATCCATGATTGGGCTAATAGGGGCCGCACACGGAGACGAGATCCTACACTGTCTCCCAGATGCTCCCACTCTAGGAGTAGATCCCCACGAGTCTTTCTGCCCCCACCACCTCCTCCTCTCTCCTGGGATCACCGCCAACTGCGTTATCTCTATGGGGCTTATCCTCCAGCATCCATGCCGTGGTTGACTCCAGCAGGTTGCTCTGATTGGGATCGTTACTCTGCCCACAGATCATGGTCACCCTATAGATCGAGGCCTTCAGCAACTCTCTCACATCCTCCAGATCATCCTTCTGATGACCCTCCTCGACATCGACTGGATCAATATCGTCCTCCCAGTCCCCCTATCCCACTGTCAACAGATCCAACCAGTCAAATCAAAACCACTCTGGTACAATTACCAGAGCCCGATTCCTCAGACTCTGTGGATGAGGATTCTGATACAGGGGCTTCAGATGTGCACAGCTCCCCTGACCAGCCGTCTCCTAACCAGGCAGTAGCCGATGACCAACCTATATCTCCGTCTGATAATTTAACCTCCTACGGAGACCTTATAAAAAGAATGGCACACTCCCTTGGCCTTTCAGTCGTACAACCACATCCACAGGT